GACATTACTGCAGATTGAATCCAGGGCCTGATTTAAAACTATATCCTCAACCCTTTTAATTTTACTATGAGACTAAATTGTCCAGGCTGGGCTCAAACTTGCAATACTCCTGCCTGTTTCAGCATCTCAGGCAACTAGTATTGAAGTGTATCGTTGTACCAGACAAGCCTATAGTGTTTTTTTGTTTTTTTGGTACTGGGGATAGAACTCATGACCTCGCGCTTACTGGGCAAGTGCTCACTCCACTGAGCTAAATCCCCAGCATTCCTATAGCGTTTTTTATGTTTTGTTTTAGTTTTTTTAGAAATCACTGTAGTGACATTGCATCATTTCCACTCATCATTTCCTAATAAACAATGATTTTTCTCTACAACTTATTCTCTTCCTTTACAATCTAATAAAACCAAAAACCGATAGTAGTTTCTGATACTTTGGAATTATCTCTTTTTCCTTGTCAACACTGAGAAAGAATATTGCTTTAGAAAACATATTATGCATTTAATAAATGTTTTAGCAAGTTTTTCTGTCCCTTGCTTCCTTTTGCTTTCTTTACTATGCAGATTATACCAGCTATTGGGACCCTGTGTTCACTCATATTGCTTCCCAAAACTCCAGTTTTACTATTTGTAAATATCTAATGCCAATCTTAAATAACTACAAAAATTGTAAGAAGAATTTGGTAAATTCTTTATAAACTATGAAAAGCCCAACAAATGCAAGAACTTCTTTTTATTAAGATGAAGATCACTAAAGGCAGCTTAATAGATAAACAAGGGTGGTGGAAATTTGAGATTTGTACTAAATGCTTAGTTTTCAACAGCAGAATATAAGACTTGAATTAGTAGAGTCAAATGTATAGATTGAGGCAAGTTATTTTCAAGTTTTATTTAGTGGCAAAGTCCTCAGAGCAAATGATTTTCAAGTATATAGCGCAAATTAGTATTGTCAGAATATTTTCACATACTTTATCTCATTTAATCTTCAAAACACTACCAGCCTGGGTCACTGCTTCTGGTTTTTTTTTGTTTTTGTTTTTTTTGTTTTTTTTTTTTTGTTTTTGTTTTTTTGTTGTTGTTGTTGTTGTTGTCATTGTTCTGTTTTTTGTTTTTGGTAACGGGGATTGAATTCGTGACTTCATGCTTGCCAGGACAGGTGTTTATGCCACTAAACTAAACCCCCGACTCTGATTACCTCTGTTTTATAGATATAAATTCAGGTGTAATTTACCTCTGTGCATAGCGGTTGAAGCAGAAGTAAAAGGTTGATTCTTATGCTATTGTGCTTTTTTACTATAATAATCTCTTCTGCTATAAATCTATCCAAGTTTGTTCCAAGAATAATTAGTCCTGTCAGTTTTTATAAACTTTTGCTTAATTTCAACTTTGCTTTAGATGCCTTTGAGTTCCAAAGATAACCTCCCCTAGCTTGTGACATGTAGAATCTATTTTCTGGCCCTCTGTCTATTTCAGGAACAAAATCTAAGTTGTTTAGTGTGCTTGATTATCAGACAGGAAGAAAAATAGCAGAGATTCTAGTTAAAGCTTCTAAGAGGAAAGGAAAGAAAAAGATCTTGTGATCACTGCCTGTGATAACCCCATTTCTTAAGAAACTATATTATTGGTAAGTACCTGGAAGTTCTCCAGTAAGGCAAGGATTATATAGCCAAGATTTTTTTTTTTTGAGTGTCTTGAATCAAACCCACGCCAGGTAAGTGCTCTACTGCTGAGCTATAGTCTAGTCCCAGTCAATTGTTAGAGTGAGGGGACTATCTTGCATGACTTTGAGGAAGTGAGAAGTAAGCTTGAAAAGAGGAAATTGTTGTAGATTTACCATTGCAAAGGACAATGACAGTTTGAGGCTGTCTCAGCAATAGTGTGAAGTGAAACTGAAGGGTGAAAACAAGAGGCTGCCCTTGTACATTTAACTTAGGCATGGAAAATGCCTAGTATAGTGATTACTGTGGAGGGCTCTGGTACTAGATCATTTAGCTTTAAATCTAAATTTTGCCTTTGGTCTGTGTGACTTGAGGAAAGTTGTTTAAATTCTCAATGTCTGAACTTTTGGCATTTAAAAGGGGACTAAAATAATACATACATGCAAGGATTGTATGAGATAATGTATACAAAATGCTTAGCACTGAACAGTTCTTTGGATACCATGATGGCTAAATAAATGGTATAAGGTATTATTATTGATAGTTATCATTATTATTACTGACATTATGAGCATTGTCATTTGACACTGTATGTTATGTAAGATTTATCTGGAATAGTATCTGGCAAGAAAAAAGTGCTCAAAGCATGCTTATTAATTTTTAATTTTTGCCTCTGCCAGAGGGTCATGAAGATTAAGTTGCATGATGTGGTTGATGGTTTTGGGTGGTAACAGCACTATAAGAAAAGTTAGGTGGAAGAAAGTTTTGGTAAAATAGACTCTTTAGGACAAGAAAAGTTATTTGATAGTAGAAATAATTCAAGAGACCTTCTTTTCAGTCATAGTTCTGCCTTCAAAATTGTGTGAACTTGGACAACTTATTTTCCTTTTTTGTTATTTCCTTGTTTTTAAAAATAAGGAGATAAGATCAGGTAAGTGGTGTTAACTGTGGATTGAGGGTTGTGGAATATATCAGAAACTCCTCAAATTTCCTTCTTCCACTTTCCCTCCTGACTCCAGGTTTTTGCTCTCTCTGTGAAAAAATCAAATCTTTATGGTAATCATATAATATATAAGGCCATTGCACTAGTGAAAAATCCAGTAACCTAGAAGCCAATGGGAGATCATCTTTTTATTCATTTGGAAAAATCTAGATTGACCCTTTCAGTGTAATTCAGCAACTTGTTTTGTGACTGTATTCCAATATATGTCTCCAGAAAGCAAGTCTCCTATTTCTTAGATTTAAGTGTACTGGACTGATCCAGGAAATGCTATTTGACAGTGTGAGTCAGATTTTGGTAATCTATAAATAGGAGCACATTTTTTTAAACTTTCTACTTAGTGTTTATGTTGTACATTATGAAATTTTAAAGGACATATTGGTAAAAGAGAATTTTGCTAGGATCGTTCTGATAGCATTTTAAGGTATGCTTGTTTTAGTCCTGGTAGGTAATGTGGAAGAACTTTCAATTAGATTTAATGCCTGTGTGCATCTTAATCTATGATAATAGCTCTGTGGAATCCTCTGGTAACAAAATCTTCCTAGTACTTACCAATGAATTAATTAGTAGCCATGGGCTGGTGAATAAGGAGTGCTGATGAAAAGGAATTGAGACAGAGATTTGTTGGACTTCAGTAAGAGAAAAGGAATTTCTTTGTCATTTTATGAGGAATAGAATGAATGGCATTCTGTTGACTCAGCCTATTTAAGCAGTAAAAGGAGACAAACATCAGAGACCCAGAAGCGTAGCTTTCATAATTCTGAGTCAAGCACTTGAGACTCAGTACAGTAGGGTGGAAGTGCACATCAGCAGGCATCATGAGGTCTGTTTCACATACAACTGTCACTTGTGCAATCTTGGGCAAGTTTGACATTTGTTTCCTATCACATAAAGGGGAATTTAACTTGGATTGCCTCAAATATACCTGCTAGCTTCAACCATTTAATGCAAAGATTATATTATGCAATAGCCATTGCTTATCAACATTCCAATATTACAGATGTGCCAGGTTGGATTAAGAGGATGGGGTGGGAAGATGGGGTCTTAATGAATTAATCTACACAGTAGAAAAGAAAGTCTGAATTGTTGGGATAACACACCTTTAGCTCTTAACTCTCTATGAAATTTCTGGTTCTAGGAATAAAGGTACAAAATAATGCTCAGCATTTTGGCTTATGTCTATAATCCCAACACTAGGGAGGCTAAGGTAGAAGGAGCACCACAGGTTTGAGGTCAGCCTAAACTACATTTACTATGTAGTTTAGTAGTGTAGTAACTTGAAGGCCTGCCTGGAATGTATAGTGAGACCTTGTCTCAAAAAAGCACCCCTCTCCACAAAAAAAAAAAAAAAAAAAAAAAAAAAGCATAAATTGGAGTATTATTTGTTTTTAGAAGTAGAATACTTCTGACTAAGTAGGTATTTGTGTGTATGAATCCTTTAAGAGTTAATGATAAAGGAATATTTTTCAGCAGTGAAAAGATGATTACCTTGTTTTCAGTGGTAGTAAAACACTGTTAGATTTTAAGAAAAGGGGATAAGTTCTAACCTGCCCTTTAGAAAGGCCAGTCTTGCTATGGGACATGTGAACAATGAGTTGAAGATCAGAAAGAATGATCAGGAGATCCTGAATGATGACGTCTTCAACTGAAGTAGTAGTGATAAGGAAGACACTGGTTGGGGAAGGGAGGAGTTAAAGAAGTTTTCTAGCTGTCCGTCAGTAAAACTTAGAGAGTGGTGGTGCTATTTACTGACAGAGGAAACAAAGGCAAACGTGGGGCAGTTGTGAGAGTAGAAGATGATGATTCAGTAATTTTGAAGAAATAAGGTACACATCTGAATTACTGAGGCTTAAGTGGAAGTTTTGATCTTTCTCAGTAGCCATATAACTTTCAAATACTTTCTGTTTTTTGTTTTTTGTTTTTTTGTGTTTTTTTTTTCTCAGAAAAGAGTATTTGTGTCACTGTATTAGTTACTGGGGGAGATGATTCCTATAGAGACTAATGCTATGGAGACTACTAATGTCATAATCCCTCTTCTCCCACACACGAATAGAACACTTGTGGGTCTAACTTCTCAAAGCGTTTGGAAAAGGGGTGGAAGGAGGTCAGGGACTACAGGGTTTTTGCTTGTTTTGCTTTGTTCTTATGCTTATTTGAAAGATAATAGTAGTTGTATCTCATTGCAGATATATTGGTTCCAAATGTGATTAGTCAGAAAGGCATAGTTTCCTCAAATATTGGTAAAAAGCAAACAGAGAGCTCCCAAGAGCATTATTAATCACATTTAACCACTTGCTTATTTGAAGTAAGATAAAGTTCAATGTTTATTGTATTTTTCTTTTGTAGAGAAGTGATTTCAAGATCTTCAAATCTTTAAAAACTCAGAAAAATGGCTTTCCTTTGTTTGGATATTAGCTGCCTATATATTTTTCTTCTTTGCAAAGCATTTGGCTGTACTTTGGCTTCAAACGTGGAAATAAAAGGTAAACCAACAAATTAAATGGGTTTTAATGAGATAGTTTTAAAAACTAGGGTTTTTAATTGTTTTTTCAACCTACCTTATTGTATTGCATAACTAGTAATTATTCAAATTGTTTCATGAAGCTCATGTACTAAAGATATGTCCTTACTAAAAAGTTTCACATATAAGGTAACATTTTGTAGTACAAAAGCCAAATCAAAAAAATACTTTCTTGGCTGCTTGCATAGTCATTTGCATTTTCTAAAATGTCAAATATCTAAAAACTTCTTGGCTGATGCACAACTAACTGGAATCTTTCCTTGATAGTTATCTTTAACTTTTATGATACTTAGATAAGTAAGAAGAAATACAGAAATTTAAAGTGAAATGTAGAGCCAAACGCAGTGACACATGCTTAGAGTACAACCACTCTGCAAAGCTGAGACAGGAGAATCATGAATTCAAGCTCGTCCTGGATAAGTTAGTGACTTACTGAGACCTTGCCTCAAAATAAAATGGAAAATAGACTGGGGATGTAGCTTAGTGCAGAGGCTCTGTATTCACTCTCCAGTACCATACAAAATGTAAAAATGTAAAAATAATCAGAATTATTGTCATATCTAATGAACTTCTCTTATTTAAAGCAGATAGGTAGAACAGCTAGGCATGGTGGCATATGTCTGCAGTCTCAGAGGCTGAGGCAAGAGGATTGCAAATTTGAGATCAGCTTGGGCAATTTAGCAACTTAATGAGACCCTGTCTCAAAATACATAAAAGAACAGGATTATGTAGCTCAGGGCAAAGACCCTGGATTTGATTTCTATATCAGAAAAAAAAGAAGGTAATTAAAACAACACATATTTAACAATGATTTTCAGCCTTATGAATTCTCAACAGATATCTTTATGGGTACATGGAGTAATTTGTGCCACAATTTTTTTTCTGTGGATTCTTTTCCTCATCTTAGTTGTATGAAGAATTAAAATGAATAACCTGGTAAAAATGAGATGAAATTATTAGTAACAAGGCAAGATGACAGTAATACTCTTGTGTACTACTAGATTTGTTAGTAGGAAAAGTTTCTAGCTTTCTGTTTTGGTAGTACTGGGGACAGAACTCAGCCCTTGCCCCAGACCTTGTTAAATTTTGCAACAGAATTTCTCTGAGTTGTCCAGGCAGGGCTTAAACTTGTAAGCCTCTTACCTCAGCCCCTCAGAATACAGACATATGGGCGGCACGTCCATCAAGTTAAATTTGAAGCATTCTTGTGTGTGTGTGTGTGTGTGTGTGTGTGTGTGTGTGTGTGTGTGTTGCTTTTTAAATCACCAGATGCAGGGGAGCCATTGTCTCTCAATGTCTCTCCTGCCTACCCCACAATAAAAATTAATTTTTTAAATCACTGCTACTTTTTCTTGAGTCCTTCCAAAGAGTGCCCTGGTATGCTGTCCTCTGGGATTGTATTTTGATTGACTAGGGAATTCTATTAATAAGAATGGACTGAGATCTATCTGGCCTCCAAATTTTAAAGATACTTAGCCATTATAGATACGTTTGATATTTTCTATTCCTCTATTATGCCTACCACAATATTATATGCACTGAATTAATGATGATTTGTTTTTGAGATTAGAAAGAGTAATAAAATATTTCCATCAGAGGCCAAACTTCAATACTAATGAGCTCAAAAAAAAAAAAAAACTTCATGTTGAATTTTTTTATTTCTGTGAATTTATTTTTTAATTCCAAAAAAGGAAAGTCACATTTTCTTCTTATGTAAATTCTTAAAAAGAACACAACAATATAATAGTAATCTAAGTTTAACAGTTTTATTTTTTAAGAATAGAAAAAATTAAACACAAATTTAAAAAAGAATAGGAAAATTTATTGGAGAAAAGGAATATCGCTTGAGAGACAGAAGGGATCCCTAATGGGTTGCCAGTGAGCTCACCTCTCAAAGGAAGTTTTTTTTTTTTGTTTTTTTTTTTTTTTTTTTTTTTTTTTTTTTGTCTTTTTCCTTTTTATCGGTACTGAGGATTGAACTCACGACTGCCTGCTTGCAAGGCAGGCGCTTATGCTGCTGAGCTAAATCCCCAGCCCCTCAAAGGAAGTTTTATGGAGCAAAATCATGAGGTGGATACAACATGGGTCAAAATTATGATCAATCAATAAGATTGCAAGTATAGTTGCTTAGGTATTAGTGATCCATTAGTAGCAAAGTTTAACCTTGGTTGATAATCTATACTCTTCACCTTGTCTTTAGTCTTAGCAGTATTAGTTTATTTGCTAGATTTACATACTTCCCTAAGGGATGAATGGAGGTTTGGGGTTATTTGTATCACTCATTTGAGATATACCATTGTCTCAATGGGGTGGGCCATCCTCTCCTTTTATGACTCAGACTAAGAATAAGACTAAAAGACTAACAGCTTTATTGTGATATAATTTATATTACACAAAGCTCATCTTTTTCAAATATGTTATTTGGTGATTATAAGTATATTAAGTAGTTATGAAGTAACCACTGCTACCAAATTCCAGAATGCTTTCATTACTTCCCTCAAAACCCTATGCCCATTAAATACACACACTGTATTCTATCCTCTTTTCTAGCCTCTTACAAACATTAATCTACTTTCTGTCTCTACAGATATTGTTTATAAACAGAATCAAATAGTATATAGTCTTTTGTGACTGGTTTCTTTCACCTGGCATAATGTTTCTGAATTCTTCCGTGTAATAGCATTTATCAGTACTTCATTTTTTTAGAACTACATAATACTCCAAGGTATAGGTATGTTTTGTTTTGTTTATCCATTCATCAATTGTGGCACATTTGGAAGTAATCTCTATATTTAGCAATCCTTGTCATAAAATAAATGAAAAACAAAAATATTTTATTGATTTTATTTCAGTCAATCCTCCTCAGAACTTTGAAATAGTAGATCCTGGGTATTTAGGTTATCTCTATTTGCAATGGCAACCTCCTCTGGCTGTGGATAACTTTAAGGAATGCACAATAGAATATGAATTGAAATACCGAAATGTTGATAGTGCAATATGGAAGGTAAGTACAGCATATACTTACAATATCATAGTTACCATTAAACATTTTCTTTTGATTCTCAACTTCACTGTCCACTCTAAACTTCATAACTTAATAGTTCTAATTAGTTAATGACAAGCTGCCATGTCTACTTTTCTGTCCTGCGCATTCTGTTAAATATATTTTTACCTCATCCTGTGTGAAGACTACTATTAGAAATTTAGGGAAAAAAATCTTTGTCCCACAGAACATGGACTTTAAGAGCATTGTATCACATTTTATAGTGACTTATTATTCATTTTTTGTTGCTCTAACAAGAAAGCTCAGGATAGGCAATGTACCGAGAAAAAAGTTTGTTTAGTTCATATTTTTAGTGGATGAAAGACCAGTATTCTGTGGACCATTTGTTCAGCCTGTGGACTGCATCATGGCGGATAGAATCCTAGTGAGAGTGAGTGAGACAGAGAAATCACATGAGGAGACAGGAAGCCAGAGAGTGACTTTATAACCAGTTGTTCTTGTAGGAGCATTACTAATTGATGTCACACAGAACTACATTAATTCCTTCTGAGAGAGCACTGCCTCAGCAACCTAATTGCCTCTAGGCAACACCTCTTTTTTTTTTTTTTTTTTTAAGGGAATAAAACAAAACAACAAAATAGAACAAAACAAAACAATGAGAACAATGTTGGATTACAAAAACAGGAGAGTAGGAAATCCCCAATCGTTACTATATTGCATATTGTTATACTCTGAATAGATGTTCGAGAACTGGCTTTAGGCCTGCAAAGTCAGTCAAATTATACAAGCCTTGAACTGTTACTCCAGTTGTTATCATCTCAGCCTATGTTCTTCTGAATCAGCCGGTTGCTTGTGGGACAGAAGAGTGGGGCTCTTCTCTCCCCGCCCCTGTGCTGCTTGGTTCACAGGACGGCTCAACTTGGCTTTTTGGTTCTCTCCCGGCAGGTGCTAACTCTAGGCCCCACCTCTTTAAGGTCTTACCACCTATCAACATTGCCACACTGAGGACTACATGAATACATGAACCCTTGGGGGATACACTTAATACTCGGTTTAGAGCACTCACATATTTAGACATAAGGTTGTTGTGGTAGCCGGCAGGAGGTGTCATCACACTATCTATTATAAGGACAAGCCAGAGGGCAGTGCAAGCTCAATCATAGGGGATGACCTAGGCATTTGAGTGTAAAAGATCAGAACAGATCTGGCTACCAGAACACGATTCAGAAAAAAAGGATATTGATGCCATTTTGCTGAAGGCAAGATTGAAACAACAAAAGATTTTTTTCTGCTCATTAATTTACAAAGCCAATAATTTTTGTTGTATCTATTTGTTTGGGGCAGTTTTTTCCCTTTATACAATACTGGAGAAAACAAATGAATTCTATTTTTTACTAAGTATAAACTAGATGTTTCTCTTGATTTACATTATTTTTAGTTGAATTTAATTGAACAGTTACAGGTTGGGAGCATAATGTACTTTGAGGATTATCTTAAAGCACAAATAATGGCTATTTTCAAACTTGACTCTTCAAATTAAACAATTTGTACATTGGGAAGCTACTGATGTGTTGACATAAATAGTAAGGGAGAGCCTGTCCAGAAGATATTTACTGCAAAACTTTAGAATAAAACTATTTCTTTTTATTCAGTTTGTCATATTTGGTTCTAAATAAATTGTGCTTGATTTCTCAGAAAAAAATAAATGTGGGCTGTATATATACTACTGAACTATGAGCTTTTTCCCTGTAGGAATCAATTTTTATTTAGCTTCGTATCTGCCCCACAGAATATAGCATGGTTCTTTGCAATACTGTAGTAAATTCTTAATGAAGGTTTATTGAATTATCAAGTATTTAAATACTTGGCAATCATGTTCATTCAAAGATTTTTGTTGTAGAAGGTATCTAATTCAAAGCAAACATTTATTGAGTAACTTTGTGTACCAGAAACTTTGCTAGGTATCAGGACTCTAAGAATTAGTAATGCATTAATTTAATCCTCAAGTGATCCGGCCTGCAGATCAACCTATCCAGAACTCCTGGAGGGGGAACGGGGATTAAATAAAAGACATGGGGGAGATAAAAAGAGACAAGGCAAGTCGAGATAATCCAATCAAGCCTTCAGTTTATTCAGAAAATGATCACACCTTTTATAGGCTAAGGGCGGGAGCTGGGACAGGAAGAGGTTAAAGAGATGAATACAACAGGATCACCGGCACATCCGGATACGTGACGTAAGCAGGAGAGGATTATGGTTAATGTAGGCAGACGCAGTGCCCATAGGAGAGAGAGGCATGGAGGCAGCAATGCCTGTCACTCGGCTCCCTACACTCAAGGAACTTACAATTTTTCCACTTTTCTCCAATTACCTTCAGGATTTTACTTTCATGATTGCTCAAAGTTTCATTAGTAATGTGAAAGATTACACATCATTTGCCATGTAATGCACATGCAGTATGTGAATGTTATCTATTTAATTCCAAGTTGCTCAAGTGTTTCACATAGAGCCTTTTTTGCCTCCAGAAGTTTTTGTCTTAAATGAGATGTTTAAATTCATATGATGTTATCAAATGGTATGATACATAAAGATGACCCCACTCTGAAATATATCTGGAGCTTTGTAGGAGTATCTAGAGGACTGTGGATATTGAGAACGCACTAGGGATATTAAGGACTTCTTAGTCTTATTAATGTGATTCACCATACCATGGCTGCTTTGAAGCTTGACTTCATTTCATCTCTTTTACCAAACAGACCATCATTACTAAGAATCTACATTACAAATATGGGTTTGATCTTAACAAGGGTGTTGAAGCAAAGATACACACACTTTTATCAGCACATTGTGCAAATGGATCAGAAGTTCAGAGTTCCTGGTCAGAAGCTACTTATTGGAAACCTGAACAAGGTTAGAAAATACTTTTTTTTTTCATATTTAATACCATCATAACAGTCTCTATAGGGAGTAATTCCCTTAAATCCTATGTGTCACAGTGTATATACAATAGATGCTAGGACTGTGTGCTACAAGATGGAATCCTTCTTAATAGTGAGTGGCTGGTCTTTTTGAATTCTTTAAATCAGCACACGTTTACTAAAACCTACATATTACTTTAACAATAGCTCCCAGTTCCTGGGCTGGGGATTTAGCTCAGCGGCATAAGTGCCTGCCTTGCAAGCAGGCAGTCGTAAGTTCAATCCCTGGTACCAATAAAAAAAAAGAAAAAGACAAAACAATAGCTCCCAGTTCATGGTCGTATTAACAAGCTTGCATGAGTATTTACCCAAGTGCTCAGAGCATCCTAGAATAATCAGTTTACCACTTTAGCATAGACTAGTGTTAGTAAATGAAGCCTCAAAAATTTTTAGACTTGCATGTCTCATAGTGAAGTGATTTTCAGTGACTTCCTTCTGAACTACTACTCATTATGTTGATTGCTAAATGAAGTGGCAAGACCAAAGGAAATAAAATTGCATAGTGATTTCATAAATGATTCATCATCATGATCCTCAGATATTTACTATTCATTCATTTCTTAGGAAGTCTGGAAACTAAAATTCGGGATATGGATTGTATATATTACAACTGGCAATATTTACTGTGTTCTTGGAAACCTGGCATAGGTGTACACTTTGATACCAACTACAGCTTGTTCTACTGGTAAGTATGTTTATATTTAGAATTCCATGTTAGAAAAATATCTATCCAAATAAGTCCACATTATGAGTAACTGTATTCCTACTAAATTAAATTCACTATATTTATCAGAGATATATTTATGATGAATGATTATAATTATTTGGCCTTTCCAATGAGAGTAAATGGTTTTAGAATGCAGGTACTACAAGGTATTTTATGAGTAATTTAAAGAATGTAATCACTATTTCTGTACTGGAGTATATTTTGTGCCTTTTAGATAGATGGAGTTACGAGAAGTGTTAGCATATTTTTGTTCTTGCCTTAAAAAAGTAGCTATCTTTTGGGCCAGTTGTGGTGGCACATACCTGTAATTCTAGCATTTGGGAAACTGAGGCAGAAAGATCTCTGTGAGTTCAAAGCCAGCCTGAACTACATAGTGACACCCTGTCTCACAACCCTCCACCAAGGAAAAAAAATGGATAGCCATTAAACTATATCTTTTTTCTGACTCTACATTTATTAACCCTCACTGAGACTTTTAAGCTTTCAGTCATCTTGATTTCTAATTCTTTCATACCTTATTATTTCATGGTGACACAATCACCATGTTCTGACACTCCTTTATAAAATGGCACATCTGTGTTTTACTTTCTATCTCTATTATAAGAATTCTATAGGCTCCTCTCATTCTACACCTAGATGACTGCCATAGCCTGGCAAATGCTGTTTGCTTGGCTTCTGGTGTCTATCCTTCCTATTCATTCTATGTATTGCAGTAAGCTTTATCTTCCTACGTTGCCATTTTCACATGCTATCTCTTTGTTGAAAAATCTCTAGAGGCTCCATATCCCCCTCACCTCCACTACCCAGGATAAAATCTAAGCTGCTACCAAAGTCTGTGGTGCACTGTATCACTGCTTTTCCATTACTGCCATCTACTATCCTAATGTGAGTGCTCCCAATAATTGCCTTTTCTGCTATTTATATCTTGATGTGTTTTGTACTCTTCAAAAGGTTTTCATTCCATTTATTAAGCAAAACATTTTGTAAGTCTGCTCTTAAGTATGCTTTTTAAAAATAACTTTCCCAGTTAAATATTAAAAATGCAGTGTCACTCATGATCATTTACATAAGCTTCAGGTTTCCTTAGTGGGAAACTTAGTTTGATTCACAAACCTTTTGTGACTCAATATGACTTAGTTTGATTCACAAACTATGACTTAGTTTGATTTACAAACCTTTTATGAGTCAAAATGACCTAAGTACATGAACAAAAATCTTTATTTTATCTTTGAGATTTCTTCAAGCCTCTCATTGTGCTGTGAGCTCTGTGAAATCATAGACCATGTTGTCTTTTCATGGTGTTGCATCTTTAGTACTTATAGCATGTAGCAGATAGTAGATGCTAAATAAATATTGTATATTATTGAATCATTTTTTAATTTGCAGGGTATGCTAACACAATTAAAAATGGAGCATCATTATATTAGAAGTTCCTGGTAAACAATTCTTACAGTATTTCTTTTTACAGGTATGAGGGCTTGGACAATGTATTACAGTGTGCTGAGTACATCAAGGAGAATGGAAAAAATATTGGATGTAGATTCCCGAAGTTGGAGTCACCAGAGTATAAAGATTTTTTTATCTGTGTCAATGGATCATCAGAATCCAGTCCTATCAGATCCAGCTATTTCATTTTTGAGCTTCAAAATATAGGTGATATAAACAAGCAATTTAAACTTGAAATTTATAGTTGGGGGCTTAAGAAAGTATAAACATAGAAAAATAAAGGTAGAGTATGCAAGGAAATACGGAAGATAAGAAACTGCATGAAGTATAAAGTATCATTTTTATGGGGCTGGGGATTTAGTTCAGCGGCATAAGCGCCTGCCTTGCAAGCAGGCAGTCGTGAGTTCGATCCCCGGTACCGATAAAAAGGGAAAGAGACAAAAAAAGAAAGAATCATTTTTATTTAGAAATCACAATTTATTTTCCAAACCTCAGAGTGTTGTTCTGCTCTGTAGTACTTTCATCTAGGGTCAGTGATGAAATAATTATAGACTCCCTTATTTTCAGGCCTCAATAGACAAATGGCTGGATATTTTCAGGTTTGTGTTCTCAGTTCTAACAGTTACAATTGAGAGAGTTTCCAGAGTCATCCAGTTCTAGATTGAATCTTGGATCTACCACTTTCCAGTTACATAAATTTGGAAAAGTTGCTTATGCTCAGTTTGTTCTTCTCAGTTTCCTTCTTCATAAAATGAAGTGAATAGAAGACCATCTCATAGAATTACTGTGAGATTAGTACAAGATTATGATATGAGATCCTTGGTGCATTGTCTGATGCATTTTAAGCACAATAACTATTTGTAAAAGTAGTAGTACTGATAGTGGTTGTCGTTTCTAAAGCTACAAAATAGGAAAAGGATTACAATGATTTGGATCTTCTCACTTGGCTCTTGGGTTTCAATATTTGTCGTTGTTTGACATCATAAAATAGGTTTCCAAAATAATTAAGTTTCTCAGCAAACTCACTTTGGTTGGTAAGCAACTTCGATTTTAACACACATCGTGGGGAATAATTTTGAGTCACCCTGGAGGTTTTAGTTACTAGGTGTGCTCAGCTTTAGAAAAGGGCTACTGATGATTTCGACAACTTCCATGTTAAAATTATTTCTCTTTGCTTCTTAGTTAAACCTCTGCCTCCAGACTATCTTAGTCTTACTGTGAAGAATTCATTTGACATTAACCTGACATGGAGCATACCTGAAGGGCCCATTCCAGCAAGGTGTTTTATTTATGAAATTTTGTTCACAGAAGCTGGTCGTTCCTGGATGGTAGGAATATTGCATTTGTTTGGGGAAATCATAAACACTGCCTTTAATAAGAAATTTGAGAATCAAAATCAGATTATTCACAAAGAACAGAATATTCATGTATCATAATAGCTTAACTTCCAGAAAGTCAAATCTGGTGGACAAACGTAAGGTGTCTGTAGTCTGAAAGTGTAATCATGCCAAATTCAAAGCTACATAGGACTCTGGAGATAATGAAGTCACTTGTTTCCAATTTTGTGCCAAAAAATAAACTTAACAAGGGACAAAAGTGGATTGTGAAAATGCCTTAGTTGATGGTGACATACACCAGAACTCTGGGAGGCTGACGCAGGAGGATCATTACGTTGAACCCAACTTGGACAATTTAGTGACTTACTGAGATTCTGTCTCAAAATAAAAACCAAACAATAAAAGGGATTGGGAGACATTTCAGTGTGGGGGCTCTGAGTTCAATTCCCAGGAGGTGAAAAAGAGGGAGGAGGAGGACGAGGATGAGAGAGAGAGAGAGAGAGAGAGCCTCAGGTAAAAACAAAACAAGAAAGCATAAACAAAATTAATCACTTCTCAAGGAACAACCTTGAGGTCAAAATTAGAAGTGGCAGTTACAAAAGAATTACTGTTAACTAGGGAAATGAATTTATAACAGGGGAAGAATGCAATGGTTGTGAGACTAACTATCCCTAACATCAACAAGGTAATGATGCCCTTAACTTGGCATTTTAGATTAATCTTATTTATTGATTTCCAAATTAGAGAATGAAAGGGACAAGTAGTTGAGCCACTGGTTCTAATTAATTCATTTCATAGCAAATGAGAGAACTGGTTTTGAATTGACTTTCAGGTTATAGGGAGATGAATTAACTTCACAATTGAATTACATGTCTAGAACTGGAATTAAGATCTGACTCTACATTACAGTGGTTCCAAACAGAAGATATAACAAACATAAAGCTGATATTTTGGATGAGAAAAACTCTTCAGTTCTTTGAAATGAAAAATTGAAGTAATTGCTTCAGTGAATTTTTGTTGTTGCTTTGCAAAATCACCTAGATTTGTGATATGCTTATGACTGAAGTAGTAATTTCATGGCAATCCACGAGCACAAGTCTTACAGAGATTACCTGAAATAAAAACAGTGGCGAAAAGAACTTTATGTACATGGATTCTGCAATTTCTACAGAAATGGCATTCATACAATGGTTCTGTCTTTTGATATTTCAGTGTATGTACCATTTTCATTATGTGGAATATGGGAAATTTGACTAGTTCAAATATTAGGTATTATAATCATGAAGGTTGCCTAGGAATTTTGCCTGGTCATACACACTGTTCTTTATCACAAGTGTTTCATTATCATGATAGAAAAAAGTTTTTATACATGAATAAGAAAATAATGACAGACAACATCTTTAAAACCAAACAGAAAAACTCAAACACTTACCATATAAAGAGATAATTCCTGCTAGGATACACTTTGTAGTATTCTGGTGCATATATTTTATGGGAAAATAAACTACCATGAAAATGACAAATGGAATTTCTCTAGCTGCAATTAGATCAAGTAACGTCATCTTATTTTTTCCTTGGCTTTCAGACTAATACGATTGAAAATGAAATGCACATCACAAGAGCATTAAATGAAAGTCAAGAACTATGCTTTTTAGTAAGAAGCAAAGTGAACATTTATTGCTCAGATGATGGAATTTGGAGTGAGTGGAGTGATGAGCATTGCTGGGAAGGTATGAGCTAAAAGGACAGTAACCAAGTGACTGAAACTATTTGCTGGCAAAATTAATTTTCTTTCTGTCTATTTTTGTAATCATGGAATTCAAGAGCTCTTGAATATTGTCTATACATGGAGAAGAAAAGTTCACAAATACTTCAATCAAACATAGATTTATTTAAATTCTAATGTTCATTTAGAAATAAGAATGTTATTATGCTTTTATTAGAAAAATTCTTGTTTTCCTGTCATTAAAGAGAATGGGCTGGTTCTTTGCTGGGGGATGGGGAGAGCAGGAGCATATTTTAATCAATGTTTTCTTAGTTTTTCAGTTTGCAAGAAAACAGAAGGATAAGCTTGCCATACATTTATTTCTAAATGTCTAGTATCATGCCAAATGAATATCATTCTAATGAGGAACAATATTCATGATAAGCTATGCCTGTCACTCAGTAGTAGCGTGCTTGCTTTCCATGCATGAGCCCCCAGGTTGGATCCTCAGCACTGCAAAATCAAAAAAGAAGTTATAATTAGTAAAACACATATCCCAATTTCTTCCAACACTGATTAAAATGACATGATAAAAGATATTCGAATTGCATAGAAAAAAACCCAAAGGTCCATATACATAGAAATATAAACTAAAAGGCCTAGATAGTGAGGCAAAATAGGATCGTGCTTCAGACTATATTAGCTTGTTGGTAGAAATTATTAAAAGTGTTTCAAAATTGAAGAAAATCAGCTCACTATTCTCTCAGGTATATTAATATGGATGCAGTTATTAATATATATTCAGATATAGATATAGATACAGATAGTTGTCTATGAATCATTCATCTTCTTTCATGTGGTTCTACTATAGTGAAATCTCTATTATCTCCCTAGGGATATACTGGTATCGTTGTTCCTTTCCATTCATCAAATACTGTTAAGTACCAGTTCTGTGTCAGATTTTCTTTAAGCACTGGATATACAGAGTAAAGAAATTTTTACCCATATGGAGCTTGTATTTTATTCCCAAGTTGAGTAAAGATAAGCAATCAACAAAAGTCAAAAAATATAATCACTAAGGATTATGGAGAAAAAAATAAGCAGGGTAGGAGATAGCTCAATCAAGTGATCTATATGGAATCAGAAAGAGCATTATTGCTCTTATATTTTTCATTTTTTTAACTGTTAGTAGAAATGTGAAGACTCTTATGCAAAGTTACATTCTCAATTATATTTTGTGCATTGTACAAAGTCAGTATGGTGAGTTTTTAACATTCTTAAAAATAGATATCAATTTAGTTAGTGACAAAAAACAATAAAAACAAAATTTCAGTTGATTTTGCATGTCAGGAAATTTACATTATCAGTCCTTTCTCTACATTACATACTTTCAAAACAAAATAATTGAGTTACACTGGTCAATACATTTCATATTGTTATCTTCAAAGTAGTAGATGTCTTTTTATGTGTTTATGCACAATCTTATCAGTGGTATTGATGATTGAATTTTCTTTTGCCATATGGAGAAATGTCCTGGAGAATCTTAATGACATTTAAAAATTAAAAACAAGGAATTTCTTGAGTTGTTTATGGTCTTAGTTTTTTTCTGAGGTTTATACTGATAAACATATTGCATATTGTTATCGTCACAGTAGTTGTTCAGATTACAAGATATAGTCATGGAAAAATGATCAAACAATTGAACAATGAAAGCACAAACTGTTCTCTTTTGTTGTTGTTGTTGTACCAGGGGTTAAACACAACCTCACACTTGGCAGGCAGGTGATTATGTAACTGAGCTAAATCCCTGGCCCTCAAACTGTTCTTTTTGATGAACTAGCACACATTAGTAGTACAGTATCGTGTGTGTGTGTGTGTGTGTGTGTGTGTGTATAAATTTGTATGCAGACATATGATCTTTTCCCTTCTTTCTTTTCTCCTTTCCCCTATCACAGTTGTTCTTTCCTTTTGAGCAGTTTCCTTCTCTTTCACTTTCACGATATATATTGTACATTTTGGAAAAAACCCAAATGCCCATCAACCATGCAATGCACAAAAAAAGATGTCATATTTTTATATAATGGGGTACTACTCAGCTATAAAGAAAGATAAACTTGAAGCTTTTATGGGTAAATGGATGCATATCCATAAGTGAAATAAATTAGACTCGCATGTGTAAATATTGTATTGCCTCCCTGGTGTAAAAACCTGAAACAGTAAATAAGATTCAAAATGTACAATGGTCTTAATTTTTAGAGCATTTCTTGTTCAATGCTTCAAATTAGAGAAAGATAAAGTGTTTTGTTTAGTGGTAATGGGGATTGAACGAAAGTCTAATTTGCCAAATTGCTCAGGCTGTACTTGAGCTACTGATCCTACTGTCTCAGCCTCCCAGAGTGCTGGAATTGCAGGCATGCTCCAAAACACTTGGCTAAGTAAATACTACTTTTGGAAATAAAAATATATCCTTGTCAGGGAGAGCAAGTAGAACCTCAAAAACAGGAGCTCCTTGGCATCTCACTGTTACATTTGCATGTCAGGAAATTTACATGTTCAGTCATTTCTCTGTATTACATACTTGCAAATCCTAAATTAAACATATAAATTTGGTAATTTTCTAGTAAAAAGATTGTAACACAACAGAACCAAAAACAAAAGAAAATGTGGCATCAGGAGAATAGGTCTGGGCCTAAGACTCAACATGCTTTATGTTATTCCAAAACAAGTGGAAAATACTAATTTGGGGAGGGCATATTTTGTCTGCTTTTAAAGTTTATCCAGTGATTACTCATTCTTTCTTATGTAGAAAAGGTTTTAAAATTTCATTCATAAAATAATAAAACACAAAAGAAAAATTGTGTCCCTTTGTTTCATCCCTAAAATGGAATACAATTTTAAAAGTGTGACCTTAGGGGCTGGGGGTTTAGCTCAGTGGCGTAAGCGCCTGCCTTGCAAACAGGCAGCCGTGAGTTCGATCCCTGGTACCGATAAAAATGAAAAAGACCAAAAAAAAAAAAAAAAAAAAAAAAAAAAAAAGTATGACCTTAAAGTCAACACTCAAGAATCAATAGCCTTCCTGTACATAAATAAATTCACTGAGAGAGAAATTGGGGAAATAGCACCTTTCACAATAGCATAAAAATTCCGAGAATCAAGCTTCTACATTGAAAATTACAAACCAAGAAGCCAATCTGTGCCCTCCAATTAGCCAATGGCAGTCAGAGGCCAGGAGGAGAACAAAGAAGCCAACCTATGTCCTCCCATGAACCAGTGTGTGGGCTTGGAGACAGAAGAGTGCCACCACCCCCCTACCCCTAACTGGCCTCAGTAAGCGACCAGCTGATTCAGAGAACACAGGCTGAGGTGATAGCAACTGAAATAAAACAGCTTAATGCTTGTATTGTCTGATTGACTTTGCAGGCCTAAAACCAGTAGTCTGAGCATCTATTTAGAGGATAACAATATGCAATATAGCAACTATGAGGGATTTCCTTCTGTCTTGTTTTTGAAGTTCAATATTTCTCTCACTGTTTTGTTTTGTTTCATTTTATGTTCCCTTTAAAATTAATACATAAATAAAAGATAATCATAGTACTCCAAAAAAGGAGATTGAAGAGGATATCACAAAATGGAAAGATATACCTTGATTTTAGGTAGGAATAACCAATGTAGGAGAAATAGCAATACTTCTCAGTTTGCTATACACATTTAATGAAATCCTGATACAAATTCCAGTAGCATATCTCACAGAATTATAGAAAACAATTTTAAAATTCATTGGAAGCAGAAGAGAGTTAGAGTAGCAAAGATAATTCTGGGCAACAAAGGCAAAGCAGGAGACATCACAATCCCTGACTTCAAACTATAGTACAAGGCTACTTTGATAAACAAAACAACAAAAACAAAAACAAATAAAAACCTTAGCACAATACTGATAGAACAACACAGACTTGAGAATCAATGTAACACATTTGAAGATTCAGAAATAACTCCAGCCATACTCAGCCACCTTATCTTTCACAAAGAAGTCAAACAACTTCACTGGAAGAAAGACATCCTCTTTAATAAACGGCGTTGGAAAACTGGTTTGCCACATGCCAAAGATTAAAACTAGATTCATATCTTTCTCTATGTATCAAACTAAAATTGAAATGTATCAAAGATCTAAATACATCTAGAACAGAAAACTGAAGTCTGCTGGAAGACAGAAGAGCTAGAACTTTTGAAGACACTGGTGTAAGCAAAGACTTTCTGAACAAAACCCTGATCACACAGGGACTATCACAAGGAGTCAGTACCTAGGATCTCATCTTATTAAAAAGCTTTGGCACAGCAAGAGAAGCCTCCAACAGAGTGAAGATACACTCTGTATAGGAAAAACCTGTTTGCCAGTAGTTTCCCAAAGGACTAATATTTAGATTATATAAAGAACTCAAAAAAATCAGACCTCTCTAAAGACCCAATCCAAAAATGGGTATCTGGGTTGAGTACACATTTCTTGGATGAAGAACAAACAGGAAATAAGTATATGAAAAAATGTTCAACATCACTGGCAATTGAAGAAATGTGAATTAAAACAAGCTGATATTCCATCTCACCTCAGAAATAATGGGCTATTATCAAGAAATCAAACAATAACAATGGTTGGGCTGTTTGGGTGCTGGTGGGGCTGTGGGCAAAAAGGAGTTCTCCACTATTGATGGAAGTATAGACTGGCGAAACCAGTGTGGAAAACGATGTGGAGATTTCCTCAGACAACTAGGACGAGAGGTTCCATTTGACCCAGCTATTCCCTTTCTTGGGACCTTCCTGAAAAAAATTAAAAGCATCATATCGCAGTGATATATGCACATTCATTTTTATAGAAGTATAATTTGTAATAGGTAAATTTTGGAAACAGCCCAAATGCCCATTAACTGATGAATGGATAAAGAAGATGTGGGTTTTTTTATACAATGGAATACTACTCTGCCATAAAAAGGATAAGCTTGAGACATTACCTAGAGATAAATGGATGCATCTTGAGACCATACTCAAGTGAAATAAATTGGACACACATGTAAATGCTGTATTATTTCCCTGGTGTGAGAAGCTGAAAGTGTAAATAAGGACTAAAATTTATAAAAGTATTGTGAAATGGAATGAAAATGCTCAAATGGGAAAGGGAACTAGGAAGGGGAGATGGGGAAAAGAAGAAAGGGAAAAAATGAGAAAAGAAGGAAAAATGGAACCAAAACTTCTGTTAATACGGAGAGGAAAACAGGTTGAAGGAAGGTAGGGGAAGGGGAAAAAAAGAATCAAGTTATATCATGCACAGTTACAAATTCCCTATGATAAATATAATCATTATGTATACTCAAAATGTACCAGTAAACTTAATAAATTTAAAACAATGAAAAATGTGTACAAGTGTGACCTTGATTCATGCTTTGTGACTCCTTCCTGCAATCTTTGCTACTCCAAAGCCTGAGGTAAAGGATCACATGATTAGAGAGCAGCCTGCGTATTGTAGCCAGTACTGTTCTTAAAACCAAGAGTGATCTTGAAAGCCTAACTACAAAAGCAGAGACAGCAGGAAAGAAGGCGTGACTGTTCCACAGTGGCCAGGGGCCGGCCAATGGAGCCGCAAACAGTACACAGGTGCCCCCCGAAAAGCATTATCAAGTTTCTGCAGGGTCACTGTTGAGATTCATGGCACATAAATTATGAGAAAAAGTTTAACCCTAGCCGGGGCAGCTAAAATAAGGACCACTACAGTTGGCCCTGTTGGCATGTGCCTAAAATCTCAGCATTCTTAGGGGATAAGACAGGAGGATCACAAGTTTGATCCCAGCATGGGCAATTTAGGAACTTTGTGCGACCCTATCTCAAAATTTAAAAAGGACTGTAGATGTAGCTCAGAGTGCAAGTCCTAGGTCAATCCCCAGTGTGTGTGTGACAGTGGAGTTGAAGGAATTAGAGCTGATAACAGTCTTTTTGAAAGCCAGCATTTAAAGAGTCTGAAAGAATAGTGTCTAGGGGGCTGCGGATTTAGCTCAGCGGCATAAGCGCCTGCCTTGTAAGCAGGCAGTCGACAGTTCGATCCCTGGTACTGATAAAAAGGAAAAAGACAAAAAAAAAAAAAAAAAGAATAGTGTCTGAACAAGTGAAAAATAAGTTTAATGAGAATAAATCCAAAGAAACCCTCCGTATGAAGATCCACCAAAATATATACAGTATCTTCTAAAAAAGAGATAAAATCAAGTTTCTCCAAAAGGAAGATGTTGTCCACTACTGGTATGCACAAGTCCTACATGATGGGACTGTTTTTGATAATATGCATGCAAGAGTTCGAAGAAGAAAAATGATATAGCTTCAAGTTTTAAAGTGGAAAGAGAAAAAGTTATCAGAGGGTAGGATGAAGCTCTCTAGATTATGAACGGAGAAGAAACTGGATTGGTGAGGGAACCAGAGTGGGTTTACAGAGAAAAAAGACAATCCAATACCAAAATTTCACCCAATGCTAAACCTCATTCTTGAACTGGAATTACGGATTTTGATGGAAATAGCAGTGCTTTAGGTCTAAATACATCAGCAATAATGATAAAGCTTGACCTTCAAACTTATGTTACTAGTCAGAGCTTGTTACTTTTGTAAGGAAAAAGTCAATTGGAAGACTCAAGGAGTTTGCTTACTTGACCCTGACTTTTGAGCAATGTAATAAATCCCTAAAATCTAAAATATTTTATTATAGCTGTGTAAAATATGGTTAAGGAGATCTGTTTTCTTTTACCTAATTCTGTAAGCTGAAAGGCTAATAAAATTTTATCTACTCTGAAAAAACTCCATTACTCACACACATTTGAACTGAAGGACTGCTCTTGTTCATTTTAGTGTCAGATGATATAAACTACATTTAACTTGTTATTGGAAGCTGTGGTAGTGCACGCCATATTTGTGTTCTCATCACTCTGGGAAGACGAGGCAGGAGCATAGCAAATTCAAGCCTAGCATGGGCAGCTTAGTGATTTAATGAGACCCTGTCTCACAAGGAAAAAAAATCTGGGGATATAGCTCAGTGTGAAGGCCCTCGTTCCATCCCCAGTACTGAAAGAAAAGAAAAGAAAAGAGACACAGGACATGTTTATTTACCCATTTGCCTAACATTTAATCATTTTTAAATGAAAAATCCACAGGGTCAAATATTAAACAGATTCATACCAAGAAACAAACATGTTTTGAGGAGTTATTTTCTAAGTGAAATTAAGAGATGTCACGGTGCAATAAAGTAGTTATTCTGTATAAAAAGTATGCAAATGAAAGAGATGTCATACTTGAAAACAGCTGTGATAGCTATCCACTGGCAAATATGGTGAGATTTACCAGGTCTAACTCAGCTTTTAATCATTTACTAGGAGTATATTGGTAAAACTGTTATTTCAAAAATTGTTACAAACCTCTCACATTTCCCCTTTCCTGTGATTTTTTGATCCTAGGTAATGGACGGAAGGAGACTTTGGTATTTTTCATCATACCATTTGGTCTGATCTCATCATTTGTTTTGTTACTAACTTTGCTTTTGTATAAGCAAAAAGCTTTAATGAAATCAGTAAGTTATGTATTATAATGCTTAGTCTGATACAGTAAATAACAAGTTCTGCATTTAGAAACAATGGACATATATTTTATACTTTTACCTGCTCCCTTAGAGCACATAGTTGATGTTATAAGGATTATGATAAAGTCTTCAGAAAATACAGTAATTAGAAAGCTTGGCTCTACAAGGGTACATTTTGGTGGGGGTTACTTTTGTCAAAATAGAATAAAGCTTTAGATCGTGAAATGTTATTTAGCTCTAGGTTAGAGAACAGTATAATGAAAGAGGGGTAGAAGAAAAGCAATACTGGGAGAAAGGAGGGGACTGCAAATAGTTGGGGAAGAACATACATTACCAGTGTGTGCCTAAGCACTGGATTCCATCAAAATGGTAAAGTGTGGCACCTGTTCTCAGAGCTCTTGTGCTACTTGGGGAAGACAGAAACCCTGCAAAGGTATAGTCTGTTATAATGACTTTAAAAGATTGCTACTAAGTTGTACAGATAATATAGAATTTTCTAAAGATGGGGAGAACACTTTTAGAAAGCTTTAAGAAAAAGCTGTGACTTGAAGAAAAAAACAATATTACGAATTTTCCTTATAGAAATGTTAACATGTATGAAATGTTTCACTTTGTCTACTGAATACTTTTCCCTTATTTCTCTGAGTTATTAATATTCAATGAAATTTTGTTGTTAATGAAGGTTTATTTATAACAGTGCTCTTTCTAAATTTCAGATTTTCCATATTAAGAAAGAAGTTTTTTCTCATCAGGAGACACTCTGTTGACTTACCAATTTCCATTTACATGACCAAATGTTCAACATCAGTCTTATGAAACTGAACTTCTTCAAATGTTGACTACAAGTCATTGTAAAATGTAGTTGTATTTAAATAGTCTTTTAAGTACTCAAATCCTGAGATCGCAATAAATTTGCCAGATTCAGTTAATAGATGCCTTCTTCATAAATCTGTGGTGAGACTGGTACATGTAGAGTCAAGAAATGGGCCAGAGTTCGCTCAAATAATGCATTAATAAAACAATATGATTTTGTAATCTTCACTAAGTCATGGTCAGATTATTGAAAAATAAGGCTAAATTTTGGAAGATGAGATTGAATATTTTTCTTTTGTTGCTGTTGTTTGTTTTAAATTGCACTCTGGCTTAAAAACATTCAGCATGGGATTCTTTGGCATTGAAAGTAATCTGAGAAGTGAATAAATAGTAAACAATAGATTTTAAATATGTTCATAGGCCTAAATGTGTGTGTCACATTTCATGAAAGAAAAAGAGGAGATAAATGTAGTGACAAGGGATCTTATCTGAACCATTCAAAAGTCACAAACTACATAATAAGACCTTGGGGATTTCTTATACCAGTTGGGAGGAAGTCTTTCCTAATTTCTGATTTGTGTGTGTGTGTGTGTCTGTGCGTGTGCCTGTGCGTGTGTGTACATGTGCGTGTGCATGTGTGTGGTACTGAGAATTGAACCCAGGACCTCACTCATGCTTACATTCCCAGCCATTTTTAAATTTTATTCATTTATTTTTGTAGTTGTTTGTTTGCTTGGTTTGGTTTGATTTAAGAATTGAAAGGTATACATCTTTGAAGTTAATGTACATCCAACCTTCAACAAATTTGATTACCTGGGTGTAGACAATTGTTTTAAACCATGGGGTCCAAACTTTTGGCTTGCCTGAGATGCACTGAGTGAAGAATTGTATGGGGCTGCATATTAAAATATGTAAGATAGCCAATATATGTAAGTAATAAAACTTCCTTTCGTTATTTATATTTGCAGTACTGGGGATTGAACCCAGTACTTTCAATCTAAAATATCACCTGCTGTCCCTCCCCTACCTTTTGAGACAAGTTCTCCCTAAATCTCTAAGTTACCAAAGCTGGGCTAGAACTTGCAATCCTCTGCCTTAGCCTCTCAGAGTCTAGGATTAGAGGCATGTGCCACTATGGTCAACTTTATTTCTTATATTTTAGCTTACTAAATAATTTTATAAAATAATACAATAAGCCCAAGTTTAATAATTAAATAAACTCACATGTCTACCTAATAACAATAAATGCTCATCTTCACAGGGATATATCATGTAGGTAGGTTGAAATATTATTTTCTGTAATCATTACATTTTACTTATAATGTCACACAAGTGTATGCAAACCACATATTTACTGGTTTGGATTGGACTGTATGTCTTAGAAATGTCCTGTGTTCTCCCCTCTATGGCATGTAATTGTTGCCTGTGCAGTCTGTGTCCAAGCACTACACAATCAAGTCATGAAAAAATCACCAAAAATCACATAATATAAAATTTCTGATCCTGTGAAACTGTATAGCTAGCTGCCCAGTGCCACATTCTACCTATAGGCCTCAGGTTAAATATACTGATGTAAGCTCAGGAGGAATTGGGTACAGATTACAATCAAAAGCTTTGTTTTAATTTGGACTAGTGTTATTCAGAATAGAGTAGGCATCACCTGGGAGCTTATTAGAAATTCCCCAACCAATCTACATTTTTTTTTTTTTTGTCTTTTTCTTTTTTATCAGTACCAGGGATCGAACTCACGACTTCCGGCTTGCAAGGCAGGCGCTTATAACGCTGAGCTAAATCCCCAGCCCCCCAATCTACATTTTAATAACATTCTCCAGTGATTCATTTGCACACTTAATTTGTAAAACACTGATATATATAGAGGCAAGCTCATGATCAGAATAGGTACAGTTGTGGCTATGATTGTCACTGATCATCTCTAAAAGAGGAAAGTAGCTTAAACAAGGTGTAAACCAGAATAACATCCTTTGTTATCACTTGGAATGGATGATAGAATGTATCATTATTTCCCAAGTACACCTATCCTTATTAAACATTAAAATTTCCATGGTAGTATGACATAATTAGCAACTGTTGTCAAACCAGGGCTTGCTAAAGCTTTTCTTAGTTGCTAAGAGGTTTGTAGAAGAAAACAGAAATGTGAAGTGGAAAGAACATGGTAAGGCAAGGAAATAGGCAACTCATCTGAGGATTTTGAGTGGGTTTTGCTGACTTAGTGTTTTAATTCTCCTATGTACAGTATACATATCAAACCATACTAATCAAAGAATATCTGGGATTCCTGCTATACCCTTAGAAACTTCAAGTAGAATTGCACTAACAAAGAGAATATGATAATCAAATGACAATAAAACTTTAAAAAGGACCCCTGGAATTCCTGACCTGCTAGCTAACTCTCAACCTGTTAGATGCTCATATGCCAAGCTTGGACTCCCCAAAATTGAAGAATGAATTTGAAGGAACAATGGAGGTTAAGAGTAGGAAATTTTATTGAGCGAGAGACAGCTCTTGAGAGAGACAGGAAGGGAACTGAGACATTTATATAGAATAAAATCACATGGTGGGTATAACGTGGGCTAAAGCTATGGTCAACCAATGATTGTAAGTAGAGCTGCTTAGGTAATATTGGTCTAATAGGGAAGCAGGTCACGTAGCAAGCGTACATGAAAAGAAGAAAGAACTTCTCAGTAAAGAGTGGGTCTGGGGGTCTTGGTCACCCACCAAGGTGACCAAAATTTATGTAGACTTTATTGGACCAGGTATTACTATGTATCATATCTCTTGTAGAAAATGTAGATCTCAACTGTCATGAGTTTTAATCTTTTGTGTTGACTCTCTATGGGACTGTTGTAGTCAGGTGTTGTGCAGAGAACAGGATACAGCATTTATAATACTATTTTATGATGGTAACCCTGAGTTAACACAAGAAAGTGCAGGAAATCTATCCACAATACTAAAGACATAGACTATTCAGCCAAGGGCCTGAATCTCACAGCAATATCCTACATGAGTCAAATGAAAATCTAGAGCCAATGACATTGCCTCCCATGTGTCCAGATGGAGATCTGGAGCCCATGAGAAGAACTTACATTTGCCAGGTGCCGCGGCCAGCGTGGGGAAGGAGTCAGGCGAGAGACTGAAGACACAGGGAGACCAGTTGCTCAGGAGGCAAAAGGCGATTTATTGAAGGACTACAGAGTTTTTATAATGTTTCAAAACAAAGAGCAGTACAAGTCACTTTAGGACACTTTCTTGTGCACACAGCAAAGGTAAACATGCTCCTGGGCCCATGAGAAACTTCTATGTTGTGCAGCCCAGGAGGTAAACATGTTCTTGGGCCCATGAGAAACTTCTATTGTTTATGTTATGAAGCTTTTCCCAGGTTAATATCAGCGCGATGCTTTGTCTAGAAGGCTGAGGTCACTGCAGGATGAGGAACTGATTGAGGTCCAGCTTCAGTGTGTGGTTTCCCACACCCGTTCACTGCCGGACCCCTGGCTCCTGCTCCCAACATACATTAGTCTGTTTTACGGATCCGTGCTGAGAAGGCCCAAAGGTCAGCAGTGGAAGCTAGAAAGTCTATGCCAGTGGGGTGAAGAGCTGTGCTTGTGGGTTGAGGATTCTACACTGGAGCTAAGAAGTCACATTCAAAACAAAGAACCAGGGCTATCTTGAAAAGCACCACAGTCATCCTCAGCAACACGGAGGTCCCTAGCTCCACTGATGATAAGAATAGTTGAGTACATGCCAGAAAGCCAGCAAGATGAGTTTGTCCTATAGATTAAATAGCGCACATTTTCCCCTCTGGTACCAGAAAGCAATGCTCGAGATGTAAGGACCAGAACTCCTCCAAAGTGAACCACAGCGACTCTCACCAACAAGTTCCCAAGCTCTTCTGATGATAATAGTCGAACTCTCACTGGGGAAGCTAGTCATGATGAGTTCCTCCAGGAGAAACAACAGATCAGACAGCAACACTTAGAGAAACCCACGCCTCGCTTCTCCTACTCCACATCTCTATTTATGCTGGCAACTTTCCTCAGGTGGAACATCTATGTTCAGCACTATGTTGATTTAATTCCAATGGTATTAGTTTTTAATCCACAACAGGGACCTAGCCCTGTCTGACTGTCTATAATATTTCTACCTAAGGTAGCTGTCTATGATAATGAGACCCCAGATTTAATGAAGTTTCAAGTTGACATTTTTTGAAGTATGATGGCATTTAATAATATTGACTATTTCTCCAATGTTTGATACCTAAACAATGCCCTGAGTCATGGCCCCCCTTACTCATCTGTCATCAGCAAATTGGGGTTACTCTAGCCCCTAACTTGGGGCCCTATTCCCTAGGAGCTCCTGGATACAGCAACTGAGGGGTAATACCTGTCACAGCAGGAGTCCCTCAGGACTCTAGGACTTGACTAAGCAAGGATGGTTTCATGCTTGTGTCCTGTGCAATTATACACCCTCTTTGTGCTTGGGAAGGCCTCAAGCAAGTTTGAATGATCTACGGTTGTCATCTTGAAGTTCTCAATAATTTTTGAGAAAGAAATGCTATATTTGTTTCTTCACTGTGCCCTGCTAATTTTGTAGCCATTCCTGATAGCCAGCATCAGTTCTGATTACCATTAAAACACCAACATCACTCATTTCTTATGTTCATAAACTAGTGATTGGAGCCAACATTTAGAATTGGAAACTTATAAATCACCCTGATTATCCGTTCTTCCATTTATCTGTCCATCTTTCTCTTCCTTTCCCAACTCTATTGCAAAATTTCTATTCCAAAAAGATAAATCCCTTCCTTTCTCCACATACTACTTGTAGGACAGAAACTGCTCTACTCACAGCAGGCCATAAACACTGGCTTCAATAACACCTACCTCAGCTTGCCTGTAGGGCAGAAGCTCCAGACAGAGGCCTGACCCCATCTGTGAAGCAGAATTTCTGCCAATAGAAAGAGTCCAGCCTCACCCTAAAGGAACTGACTTTGTTTGGAAAGAGTGGTAAAGTGCAAGTGTAAGAGTCTTATAAAAATGCAGATCTTGCTGGTGAGCAAGTAAGAAGAGATTGGTATCCTCTTGATAGCAGTGGTAACAA